ATGAATGCAAACTACAAACAACAACTAATATCAAGCGAGGCGAGGGAAAACAGAAGCAAAAAATACGGAAAAAAACCAACAGAAAAAGAAAAAGAAAACATCTCACAAACAAGAATAAAAAAAACCCAATATACTCAACAATCAAACAAACAACAACAAAACGACAGAGAGGAAAAAAACTTTGGATAGTGAAGAAAGAGAAGAGAGAGGTGTATATGGATTTAGAGCAGGGGATTGGAAATTAGATATATAAGTAGGGTGAAATTTTAACGAGGTAAAAATAAGGAATAGGGAAAATCTAAAGCAGGGATAGGGTAAGAGAAACAGGACAACAAAAGGGGAAAAGTGAGGAAGAGAGTTTTGGCATAAAGGTAAAGTTGAGGTAGAGTAAAAGGATGCTAAAGGAAAGATGAAAATAGAATGTAGAACACTAACCCCAAAATATTCACCTTAACAAGACATGACCCAAAGGGAACAAAGCATGAATGTACTCATGGCACCGATAACCCCAATATAAGCAACCTCTGAGAAAAGATAATTAGGGGAGAGAAAAGAGAGCACAAATGATATCTAAGAGAGAGAGAAAAAGATAGGAGAGAGAAGAAAAAGGAGAATATATATTTATGGAGAAAACACCACAGAGCCAATAGATAAACCAAACAAATACAAACACCAAACACTCAGTAAAGAGGGTGGGGGCAGAATATATAGAGGCTGAGCTGATATACAGGAAATAAGGTTAAGAATTAGATAAATATGGGGAGGACCTCAGTTCACTATAGAGGAAGTAGGAAAGCGATGAGTGGATAAGAAGAGAAAGAAGGGGAACAAAATAATATATTTACAAAAAAAAAGATTTAAAAAATGGTATAAAAATAGAAAATAGCAAGTAAAAATTAAATAAAATTGAATGATGAAAAAATAATGTGAAAAGAAGTAGAAAATAAAGCAACAAACAAAAAAGGAAAACAAAGAAAAAAGCTAACAAAATAATAATATAAAAATAAAAATGGAAAATTGAAATGTCAATCCTTTGGCTGGCTTAAGATTCCAGTTTTCTGGAATGTCTGTGATTTTTTTTCTTCTGTTTCTGGGACTGAAGGCCAGACCCTGTTAACTCCCAGGGACTAATCAGATTATTTTATTCCTTTGTACCATTCAGGGTGGAATCTGGGTGTGGTTGTATTCCTTGCCTGGGGGCTGGAGGGAGGGGTTATAACTCTAGGAAAAAATGGCTGCCCAGGTCCTGGGCTCAGGCATGACTCAGCACTCAATTTGCTGCCACCTCTCCTGGACCCCCTGCTTTCTCCAGCCTCTCCCCAGAGTCCACTTGTCTGCACCTTCTCCCGCTCCTCAGCACGGGTGTCTGTATCCGAAATGTCCTATGAACAGGGTTCAGTGAAAACAAACAAACAAACGCCAGCCGCAGAAACGGGGAAGACTGAGTCTCTGGGAGCTCCTCTCTTACCGGCCCTGCATGGTCTGGTCAGCGCTTTAGGCTGTCCCCTCTGGGCTCAGTCTTTCATAATTATGGCACCCAGATCTCAAATCCCCTGGCTCCAACAGTCCTGCAGATCTCCTTTCCCCGTCAGAGGCTGAGCCTGTCCCAAGGGATGCGGCTGGGTGCCGCGAGGTTTCCCTCTGACCCTCTGGGCTCAGAGATCTGGCAAACTTTCCTGCCCAGAACCCTGGTTTTTACCTTTCCAGGGGAACTCTGCCCTTCCCAGCTGAAAACTGTCTCACCAGCTGAGACTGCTTTGCCAATTCAGGGTAGATATTATTTGTTTCAGCTGCTCATTCTATTTGCTCTGGGACAAGCATTGGGACATGTTTGCCTATTCCGCCGCCATCTTGTCTCTTCTCTCGATAATATGAACATTTTAATGATCTTAATTTTTCCTCTCCATAAACACCATATATGCTTCCATTTATAGTTTACACTAGAGGCCTGGTGCACGAAATTCATGCAGGGGTGGGGGAGCCGGGAAGGGTATGTCCCTCAGCCCAGCCTGCACCCTCTCCAATCTGGGACCCCTCAAGGGATGTCTGACTGCCCGTTTAGGCCGGGTCCCACACCGGGATCGGACCTAAATGGGCAGTCAGACATCCTTCTCACAATTCAGGACTGCTGGCTCCCAACCGCTTGCCTGCCTGCCTGCCTGATTGCCCCTAACTGCTTCTGCCTGCCAGTCTGATCAGCCCCTAACCACTCCCCTGTCAGCCTGATCAACACCTAACTGCTCCCCTGCCGGCCCGATTGTCCCCAACTGCCCTCCCCTGCAGGCCTGGTCTCCACCAACTGCCCTCCATTGCCGGCCCGGTCACCCCTAACAGCCCTCCCCTGCATGCCTGATCGCCTCCAACTGCCCTCCCTTCCAGGCCTGGTTCCTCCCAACTGCCCTCCCCTGCTGGTCTGGTTTCCCCCAACTGCTCTCCCCTGCAGGCCTGATCTTCCCCAACTGCCATCCCATGCCGGCCATCTTTGACCACATGGGGGCGGCCATCTTGTGTGTTGGAGGATGGTCAATTTGAATATTACTCTTTTATTAGCTAGGATTCCAATTATAGTTTACATTTAATTTTATTTTGTATTAGTTTCAGGTGTAGAACATAGTGTTTAGACAAATTTTACACATATTCTGCCTGATATTTTCAGTACCCCTAACACTCCTATGTATTTTGGAAACATGTGCCACTTCAATATGAAAATATTGCAGATTTCAATAAAAGGCCTTGTACATGCCAAGTCTTAAATTGTTCCTCAATGTCCAGGCTCTGGTTACAGTGTTAGAGTTATACTGGAAAGACTTCTTTTGTGTGTGATCTTATGATTTCAATATACGTCTCCATGTGTCCTAAAAATCAATATGAAGCAACCCTCAGGCTCATGAGTAGAGGACTTTTGTAGAGGGCTAAGTTGTCCTGCCTTGCTCATGCCTGAGCTCTAACTTCCTAACTCCATGAAATGAGAAAGGCAAAAGGTCAAACTGAGTTACTAACAAATATTATAAAAACAAATGATCATTCATACTCCTCCACAAGAATATTTTCATTCATTCAGGTGTATCTGACTACTTCTAATAATCTGGGGTACTTCAGGACAATATGGCCAAATACATTTTGTTCCAAGTTGTATTTTCACACACCTCCTGGTCTCTCCTGTTTGGTGATAAGTATAGAAGAGAAAGCTATAAGGCCCTTATTGTATTCGTAGTCATTAAAACTTTATACAGGTATAACAGTATGTTTCATGGACTGCTGCATCAAATGGTTATAATGGAGATGAGTTTTCTCACAAGGAATTGATGGGGTTAAAATAGAAGTATTTTAATTTATTAATATAGAAGTTGTTCAAGGTGCTCTTTACCCTGACATTAGAGAGCAATGAAGACTTGAAGTGATGGTTCTGACTGGTTTGGCTCAGTGGATAGAGTGTTGGCCTGCAGACTGAAAGGTCCCAGGTTCGATTCCAGTTAAGGGTGTGTACCTTGGTTGCAGGCACATCCCCAGTTGGAGATGTGCAAGAGGCAGCTGATCGATGTTTCTCTCCCATCGATGTTTCTAGCTCTCTATCCCTCTCCCTTCCTCTCTGTAAAAAATCAATAAAATATATATATTTTTAAAAAAGAATACACTTGGCATAAAACACAAGTGGGCAACTCAGCTAGTCTGAGCGTCCCACCCTGTCCTATGTGAAATTCCTATGAATTAATGTGTAGATCCTCAGTGCTATCTGACCCATTCTCCTCTATGCCTATGTGGGATGTTTTAGGACTCAGTGACCTTTGAGGATGTTAATGTGGAGTTCACCATGGAAGAGTGGGCTTTCCTGGATTCGACCCAGAAGAAACTCTACACAGATGTGATGCTGGAAACCTTCTGGAACCTGGCATCAATAGGTAGTTATGACAAATTTTTTTTTAAATATATTTTTATTGATTTTAGGAAAGAGGGAGAGAACGAGAGAAAAATCAATGATGTGAGAGAGATTAGCTACCTCCTGTGCTCCTCATGTTGCAAAAGAGCAGAGAAAAACTAAGCAATGCTTTAGAGAAAAAGAATTACACTGTTTATTTATACCAGTGGATTCAGGGAATAACTTTCCAAATCTGGGTAAAGTAACACGCAGGGGGCTTCTCTTTTATATCTTTCTGGGGTCTTTGTCCCAAAAATATGGATTATGATTCTGGTCCTTTTCATGGGCTTTGCAGGAAGGCCCCCAGGTGTTGGGGGTCTCCAGGCCATATCTGATGGTCTGGCCTGGCGCCAGCATTAATAACCCTCCCTCTGGGGCAGTGCACTGTTCACAGTTTTATGGCCTCTGTAACAGGTTCTGCAAGACCAGTTTCTGTGAAAGAGGTAGTGACTTAATTATAGGTAATCAAGAATGTACACTGGGCTGGCTAGCATGGATTCAGATTGCTAGTCCCCCCGCCCCCCGCCCCCCTCCAAATATCAGGGTTACATTGGAATCAGCCTTTTAGCCTCCTCACTCACACTAGGGATCTAGCCTGCAAACTGGTCCTACTGGGAATTGACCTGTGACCTTCTGGTTCATTGGTTGACTGTCAACCACATAGCTACTCTGGCCGGCAACAACTTGTTACTTATTTAGTCAATTGGAAAACTAGTGTTGCTTTCTCATCAATGCTGTTTCAAGAACTGAAATATGGAAAGGCAGTACATTGCTAATTAAACTAGGAATGATCGTAGCTCATTGTGTCCCTAAAATTTAACCATTTTTTATATTCTTTAATAGTTTATAATGTTTTTTCTAGCATGTATTTTAGAAGAAAAATGTGAAGACCATGATAGTGAAGATCAGTATGAAAATCATGGGATGAATCATAGGTGAGTCACATTGACATGAGAAAGCATTAAGAGCATCTTTGTTGTTGTTTTTTAAATGGTTTTATATACTTATTTTTTTTTTATTTACTATTTTAAAATTTATTTCAGATAGGTAGGGAGAGGACAAAAGAGAGACAAACATCAATGATGAGACAGAATTATTGGCACCTGCCTCCTGCATGCCCCTCACTTGGAATCAAGCCCAGAACCTCGGCATGTGCCCTGACCGGGAATCAAACTGTGACCTCCTGGTTCAGAGGTTGGCGCTCAACCACTGAGCCACACTGGTGGTGCAAAAATATGTTTTTATTAATTTTAGAATGTGGAGGTGAGAGGGAGAGATAGAAACATTGATTAGCTGCCTCCTGCATGCCCTATACTGGGGTTAATAAATCTACAGTCTGGCCATGTTCCCTTTTGGGGAATTGAACCACCAATCCCGGTGCGTGGGTCCATGCTGAACCAGTGAGCCACATGGGCCCAGTCCACAAAACAATCTTAAAAACAGGTAACCCAATTGTATCAGCCCCATTTTAAATGTATTGATTCTTCTAATAATCTCTAAATGTTTTTTTTCTGAAATATGACCTAATGTTTAGTGTATAAAAAAATAATTACACTTGGAAACTATATACAGAAGTACCATTAATGAATATAAGTGTTTTTATACTATCTATGATCCAGCCTATTTCAGAGGTTTTAGGATATCCACTTTCAAAAATTGGAATTTACAGAAACATCACACTTTCCTTGAAAACAGTAAAAATGTCATTGTCATATTATTAATAAATATTAAATCATTAACCGAGTATTAATAATATGCTTCTTATTTTTACAGCAGTCATACAATAGAGAGACTCTGTACAAGGAACGATGGTAGAGAATCCAGAGAAAACTTCAGCCAGATTCCAAATCATAATGAAAAGAAGGAAACTCCTACTAAAGTAAAACAACCTAAAGCCACGTTGTGTAGGCAAATCTTCATGCATTATTTATCCTTGAATAACCACCTGAGCTCTCACATTGCACCCAAACTATACCTGTGTCAGGAATACGAAGAAAACCCTTATAAATGTAAGGATCCTGAGGAAGCTTTCAAGCATCACCAACATATTCGAAGACATGAAGGCAGTCCCAGTGGGAAAGCTTTCCACTATTCAACTTCCCTTAGAAATCATGAAAGAATGCATATTTGTGGGAAACTGTATGGGTGTGGGAAAGGCACTAGTCGTCTCATTTACTCTAAAATTTACAAAAATACTCATAGTGGAGAGGAACCATATCAAAGTAAGCAATGTAGCAAAGCTTTCAGGTCTCCCAAGTACTCTGGAGAAAATGAAAGAACACATGCAGCAGAAAAGTCCTGTCAGTGTAAGAAATCTGGTAAAGCTTTCAGTTCCACTTCTCTTAGAAATCATGAAAGAACATATACTGGTGAGAAACCTTATGAATGTAAGCAATGTGGGAAAGATTTCTCTCGTCGAGCTTCCCTCCAACGTCATGAAAGAATTCATACTGGGGAAAAGCCCTATAAATGTCAGCATTGTGGCAGAGCTTTCTGTGATCTAGATGCCCTCCAACGTCATGAAAGCATTCATACTGGGGGAAAACCCTATAAATGTGAGCATTGTGATAAGGATTTATCTAATCAAACTTCCCTCCGACGTCATGAAAGCATTCATACTGGGGAAAAACCCTATAAATGTGAGCATTGTGGCAAAGCTTTCTGTGATCGAGGTGCCCTCTATCGTCATGAAAGAACTCATACTGGGATAAAACCCTATGAATGTAAGCATTGTGGCAAAGGTTTCGATTATCCATCTTCTCTCCAAGATCATGAAATAATTCATACTGGGGTAAAACCCTATGAATGTAAGCATTGTGGAAAAGCCTTCAGTTATCTACAGTCCTGTCGAAGGCATGAAAGAACACACACTGGAAAAAAGCCCCATGTATGCCAGCAATGTGGTAAGGCTTTCAGTCTTTCCATGTATCTTAGAATTCATGAAAGAATTCATACTGGGGAAAAACCCTATGAATGTAACCATTGTGGTAAAGCTTTCTCTGATCCAAGTTCCCTCCGACGTCATAAAAGAACTCATAATAAGGAAAAATCCTATTAATGTAAGCAATGGGGGAAATCCTTTATTCATCCCAGTTCCCTTTGAATTCACAAAAACATTCATAGTGTAAATAAATCATAAGGAAAGAACTCACACTGAAAATAAGCCCTATCATTGTAAAGGTTGTAGAAAAGCCTTTGAGTATGCTAGTTCTTTTTTTTTATCCTCAACCTGAGGATATTTTTCCATTGAGAGAGTGGAAGTCAGAGAGAAAGGCAGAGAACAATATTGATGTGAGAGAAACACATCAATTCATTGCCTCCTGCACGTGCCCAGATATTAAAGCACACATAGTGGAGAAAAGCTCTATTAATGTAAGGAATGTGGTAAAGCTTTCATTTTACCAAGTCTGTTCGGAAGCATGGAAGAAAGAACACATACTGGGGGGAAACCTTATGAATGTAAGCAATGTGAAAAAGCCTTCAGTTGTCTCACACATCTTGGAAGACATAAAAGAAGTAATGGAAAGAAGCCTCCTGAGAGGGGTCGGTCCTGGGCGTAGGGTTGTAGGAGGAGGCACTAGGGTGGGGTGGGGTCCCTGACACACTGGCTTCGGCCTTATTTTCCTGGGTCCCCACTGGGGTGGGCTGCTGAGTGGTGGCTGTGCACGTGCCGGATTCCAGGGAGGTGCCCAGCCCACATGCAGTGCACATCTGCTTCGGAAACAGTGCTTCACCTGATGTGCACCTGACCTCACAGTCCTGGCTCTGTGTGCATCTTGGACGCCCGGCCATTGGTCTCTGCTCTATCCTACTGGGGCACCTGGGGCAAAACTGCTCTCTTTGCAGGTCCTCTGCCTTGGCTCTGAAGGTCTGTGGGACTTGGAGCGGCTGCAACAAGCAGGCCAGCCGCCCGAATCCCATGGGCAGACCTGTGGCTCTCATCCCCAGGAAACTGACTTTGGAGAAGAACAATGGGGTGTTTTGAATATAGGCACACATGTTAGGAATGCAAGGATTTTTGAGTCTTCTTTCTTATATGGATTCAAAGCAGATTACTGGAATACAGTGCCTTACTTTACAGTGTACAGAGTGATGGCATAATTGCAAAAAATATTTTCTTAAGTATATTACAACATTTTTAGTGGAAACATTTTTGCCTAAGATTAACTGAGTTACCCTACTGGCACAAAATAAAATGAGTGACCTTGAAAAATGCAAAGTTGAGAGACATTAAAGCACTAGTTTGGATTAGTAAATAGAAATATTACTATGATCTTATCACTGAATGAGGTCCATCAGGCAAGACACGAAACATTTCTAGCCCTATAAGAGATTAGATGGTAAATAGTTACCGTTGTTAAATTAATCTTGAATAAGTAATGACCAAACAATTCCTAATAAGACTAAAAATTCCTCTTTTTTTACCTGGAAGTAGATTTGAGACTCATATTTAAAGACAATTTGGCCCTGGCCAGTTTGGCTCAGTGGATAGAGCATTGGCCTGGGGACGGAGGGTACCAGGTTTAATTCCTTTCAAGGGCACATGCCCGGGTAGCAGGCTCCAGTAGGGGGCTAGTAGGAGGCAGCCGATCAATGATTCTCATCATTGATATTTCTCTCTCTCCCTCTCCCTCTCTGAAGTCAATAAAAAATATATTTTTTTAAACAGTATATCTTCTACAGAATAAAATAAACTTTAAAGACAATTTGATTGTTTCTAAATTTTTATGGGTGGGATTCATGAACTGACAATGTATGGAAATAAAACGAATAAGTAAAGTGGGAGACTTAGAAAAATGAATGCAGTAAATGGTTCTGCTTCTTGGTTGATGCTAAGCTACCCCAGACTTATTGGATCTGTAGCTTTCAGCTTTATAATGAGTACAATCCTAGATACCTGTTTCACCAACAATTACATAGGTAAATCACTTTCAATCTGAGCAAGTTGCCTGCTTTGGTATTTTATGGATATGAATCGTACCATTCAGTAAAAAGCTAAAAATGATCTGCCATGTCATAGGCCCAGACACTTCAGTGACTTCAAAAATGTGAAGGCTTTTAGTGGAGGTTAATTGTTTGCAAGCAGTGAAACCAACTCTGGCTAATGTAAGGAAGGCAGGCATTTCTCTGAAATGGGCAGATGAACATAGGCCTCTGAAAGGACCCAGCAGGGGCAGCTCAAGTCCTGTCAGGGTCTGCCCTGGAGTGGATCTGCGTTAACCAGGGTCTCCCTTGGCTTTACTGCCCACAGAGTTGAATTGCCCAGATCCCTGTAGTTCCATGACCACCCCTAGGCCACAGGAGGGGGAAGAGTATTGAAAGATGTTCCCATTGAGACTTAATGCAGAGGTAGATGGTGGGTCCCCAGTGAAAATAGAGTTATTGTCACAAAAGAAGAGAGAAGAAATATGGTGTGGGCAAAAACAAGAGATATGTTGTACAGGGAGGAATATAGTTATTAATGGTGAAAATGAAGAAATATTGGTATAAGGAAGCATCTTTCTTTCACTTGCAGATGTGAATTAGAAAATGATGGTGTCCTATTTGTATGAATTTATTATATTTCCTGCCTGTCAGATTCATTGGACATTGTATATGATATAGACATTATATATTTATTGAATATCAAATGGGAGACAGAAGAAACTGTATTGTAGGCCCCAACCCCTTCAATGGAGTCATGCAAAATAAGACAAGGCAGTGTAAGAAATATCGCAACTAAATATTAAGGGTAGTACAGTATGTTTCATAGGAGTTTTAAAGTAGAAAATACTTTTCTGGACAAGTTTTATAGAGATTAAGTTTTTGGCTGGGATCTTGAAAGATAAGTTGGGTTCTAGAAAGAAAAAACTGTATTTGTGGGGCACTCCAGAAAGCTCATTCAGGCTAGAGGAGGAGGAGCATGAAATGGAAGTTGTGGAAGATAAATAAACAGCCATTCTACTTCCGTCAGCGCAATACACTCTACTACCTTTCTTAGTAGGTCTTTGGATGTGGAATTGTACTTTGAAAATGCAGTTATATTAGCGCTGAGTTTCTTTTCAATAGCCTTTTCATCAGCTAATTTTGAAAGATCTGCTTCTTGATCATGTTCTAAAGTCTGTTTCAGCCGAAACCGGTTTGGCTCAGTGGATAGAGCGTCGGCCTGCGGACTGAAAGGTCCCGGGTTCGATTCCGGTCAAGGGCATGTGCCTGGGTTGCGGGCACATCCCCAGTGGGGGATGTGCAGGAGGCGGCTGATCGATGTTTCTCTCTCATCGATGTTTCTGACTCTCTGTCTCTCTCCCTTCCTCTCTGTAAAAAATCAATAAAATATATTAAAAAAAAATAAAGTCTGTTTCAGGTGCTCAAATTCAAAGAGTAATTCCAGCCTCTGGTTTCCCACCTCCTCTCAGTTCTAAGAGTCTTTTGCTTTGAATTGTTGTGTCACAAATCAACAAGCTAGACAAGACGCCTTAATGAGCCACTTAGTTAGGAGTCAATTTATGGCACGCAGGTTCAGCGCAGATTACCTCTGTCAAATTCTGAACACCCAAAGGAGGAAGCATTCTCTTTTTATATTTTTAGGGCCTTTGTGTAAGTTATTTTTGTAGACAGCTTATAGCCTTGACTACATATCATATCTAGCAAACACCTGTCATATCTATAAAGACAACTTATAACCTCAAGTATCATATCTATATAGGCACCTAGCATCAATATCAGCGTACCAGTCCCTTTAGATGGCTAGCTTGCAAGGTCAGACAATTAAGTTTATCCTTTCTATTATTCAAGCTAAAAAAGTTATTTTACAGTCTAAAAATAAGAGCATTTCAAAACAGCAGAGAATTCTAAAACAGCAGTTTCAAAAAGCAGTTTTCCCTAAGGAGGGATTATTACTATGCTTCATTCCCTACTGATTTTATGTAAATGAGTCAAATCATTGACTTGTGGGTTACTGTTGGGTAGGAAGTCATATCGACTCCTGAGGACCATAAGCTTGATGGAATTAATTTTCTGTTGAATAAAGTTAATAAACCAGTTTATAAGACAGGGGTCCAGAATGAGGGCCAGGAGTACGCACGAGTGACTCTCAGCTTTAGTGGGTCTGATGAAGAGTTCTGGATTCTCTATTCTGCTGGTGCTGCCTTAACTCTTTGAGTACCAACCAATATCCTAGAAACTATGCTAAAATTGCCAAGGTATTTTGATGATTTTACAGCAGTTTAGGAAAAAAATTATGAATCGCAAGTAAATGAAGTTACATATTCAAAAACTTAAGGAAACCTTTACTACATTTGTTTTCATCTTTGACATATATTGTTTGCTGATTGTATTATAAAATACTAGTAGAAAAAAATTTGACTTAGAACTGGACGCCATTTCGAAGCTTTAGGGCTACAAAATCTGAGTAAACTTCATAAAATCGTAGTACCTGTAAAAAACTAGGCAGATAAATGCCAGTGGTCAATTTTAGAACTACAAACATTTGGCATCATAAGTAATCTGCACTTAGGTGCCATCTGTCAATAAAGAGTGAACTACTAGCATCTAATAGTGACACTGCAGGAGGAGCACGATAGCACTCCCGGCACTTTTGGCACTTTTGGCAAAAGACAGGAGGAGCACTATCGCGCTCTAGGGGTTAAGCTGGGTGTGATGAAGCCGTATCAAAATCCTATTGACCTTGACTGCTGAGAGGTGGTCAAGATGGTCAAGATGATGGTGTGTGGTCCTCTCCAGGTAGGAGTCAGACCGTGGGTGGTAAATTTCTTTACCTAAAAAGAGTCACCAGGGTGGAAGGGATGAACCAGATCAGACATTGGTACAGGCAGAGCATCTCGGACATGCTTCTGGATTCTTTCTGGGTCAACTATAAAGCCTGTAAGAACTTGAGTAAAGATTGGTTATGGATTTCAGCTTTTCTAGATTGGGTTTCTGTGTAAGCTGGTGAGGTGGGTAGGTCAGGGTCTGGAAGAGTCACTAGAATCTGTAGAGGCCCCACTGGTTTTAGGGCAGCCTCCTGGGCTGCCTCATCTGCAGCCTACTTTTCTCTTGCTTCTGGGGAGTCCCCTTGTCTCATATAGGTAGAGGTGGAAAGACTTAGTTACATTTGGTAGTGCTAGTTGGCCCATTGTCCTTGCTCTGCTCATGTCTGTCTAACTGCCTAATATATTACCTCAAGGATCCTGGCTCTGAATTCTTTCAGGGAACATGGACGTTGGATTTCTTCTGTAATTACTTCCTGCTGAGGCAGGTCAGAGGTTTTTTTCAGAGTCAAGAGATCCTTGCTGTCTGTCAGAGGGATGAGGCCTGGCCACAGAAGGAGGTGGGCTTGTACTTGGTGGAGACAAACTATTACAAAATTTAGTATTATTGAGCAATTAGAATAGCAAGAGTTATAACAAATGGTCTGGTGGAAGGGAAAGAAAACATTTCAGTTTTAATAACTTTTATTGAAATAGAATTTTTCTCCTTAAAATTATTCCTCTGTTTATTAGAAGAGCCAAATCAAGACTAATTTATTTATTGCATTTAATTTGGTCTGATTGTTTGCATAAACACAATAAGAATGGTAACTGACCACCTTTGCTGGAATTTCATAATTGAGTCTTAATGTGCCCCATAGGGCCAGGAAGCCAAGCTATCCAGCTGCCATCAAGCCTGCCTGCAGTATCTATTGAGTTAGGTGAATCTCTCACCTGCAGCAACTCCACTCGGGCCCACACCCTAGGCTTCAAGGCCCATCTCAGCAGCCCTCCTACTCATTGCAGCCTAGAGTGCATGGGGGTCCACGGGGATACAGAGGCGCCCTTATTGCTTCCCTTCTACTCTAACTGCCAGTGATGGTAGGGTATGGGCCTGACGCTCCAGTGCCAGCTATTTTCAGGGCTGCTAAGCAGGACACCAGACTTTTTCCGTGGCACTTTTATTGGCTTTAAGTCTTCAGAGTTTAGACAGGGCTCTTTAAAATATGACACTCCAGTCAAAGTTTTTGGTCAATAAAACCACTATTGGAAAATAGTCTTAATTGAATTTATGCAAAGAAATGTATTGCCATGATTTATTAATTAAGTATTGCCAAATTTGGGGGGAATTATATAAGGAGAAAAATATACTGACCTGCTTTAAGATCTTATGATTTCCCTTATCAGTCCTTTTCATGGACTCTTCAGAGTAATATAACTGTCTTCAAATGGAAAGAAAAAATTAAAAATGTGTCTGTATTCAAATAGTTACAGCTGTCCCTGTAGCAGGGTTCCCCCTACTTGACTTGTCCTTAAACTACATATGGTCTCTGGGAGGGGTGACACCCTCTCATAATGGACTAAGGGAGTTCTAACCCTTCACATGTCACAGGACCTCATAGAGTCTGTAATTTCTGTGACAGAGGCTGGTACTCTACTTTTCTCTGTTCTAAATAGGCCTCCCCCACTTTCCTAAAGTTGAGGTTTTTGTCACCCCTGACATGTGCATGGTCACACAGGCCTGCAAGGCACTTTACAGGCTGCCAACTGTCTCTCAATAGAGACCAAAACCTGATGAGTATTTTTCCTTGCCCATTTGGGCACCTGCCCTTTTGGTAACTGCATTCAAATCTGTAAGAG